GCAGCAGGGAAGTGCTTGTTACGTTGTATAGTATTTGGGATTTTGGCTTTATAGACGTTGCTGCTTTAACTGACTGATAAGACGTCTGTGTTTATGTATAAAGCCAGGAACAATTTATTACCTGGTGGAATTCAAAAACTATTTAATGAAAGGGATGGGGGATACAATTTAAGGGGTCAGTTAAATTTAAACATTCATGCTATACGTACAACCAAAAAAAGATTTTGTATTTCCATAAGTGGGGTAAAACTATGGAATAATTTAAGTGTAGACCTAAAAAAAATAGTAATAGAATTGATGAGTTTAAACATAAATATAAAGGTATGTGTCAATCAAGATATATGCAAGAACAGGCTCAATGATTAATTACATGGACAATTGTGGGTGTGGTGTACACTTTGTATTACTTGTGTGGTGTTTTTACATGCTTGAAAGAATAAATCAAATAAAAAATCAATCAAAGTAAAGTAAAGGTCCTGCATTCAAAAGTTACTTAAGTAAAAGTATTAGCATCAAAATATACTTAAAGTACCAAAAGTAAAAGTTCTCATTATGCAGAAGAGCACATTTCACCTTGTTTATTGTATTATATTTACTGATACGTTACTGTCTTCATTACATTTAATATGGCAGCTGGTAAAGGTGGAGCTCATTTTAACTATAGTACATGTATAATTTGAATTTGATGGGTAGCTTGTGAATTTCCCACCAGGTATCATTAAAGTCTTGTGAGTATACTGAATTTTATTCTGATAATCAGATTCTTTCCATCTCCTTTACGTTGTGTTCTTGTGAAGTGCATGTGAAAATGGGAGAAAGACGCTTAAGGCTTTAGCAAAGCTCAGTGCTCTGTTGTGTTTCGGATGTTTAGAGTTGTTTAAACTATTTCTTGTCATGAAGGGAACCCTCACCTGTTTCAACTGAAACTATGTTTGCCAGTATGTGTGAAGTTGTCCAGTTATTTCACCTTCTTAATTTAGCCACCAAAAAAAAGAAGACCTCTTTTGGCCTCTTTTGAACCTGCTTGTAAAAATCCTTATTCTCTCCCAGCAAAATGTGTCCTCTAATAGCAGTTTTGCCCTCAGACTGCGGGAGAGGCATGAACACCAGCAGGGCCTCTAGGGGCCAGATGGCCTCCCCAGGGTCCTGGCCGTGGCAGGTCAGCCTGCAAGTCGCAGGTTTCCACCGCTGTGGAGGAGCCATCATCTCCACCTCCTGGATAGTCACTACGGCTCACTGTGTGGCCTGGTGAGATCTTATTCATCATGCCTCTTCTCAGAGTGGTTGCAGTCTTTTCCAGGCTAAATCTACTCTTCTCTCCCCTGCAGGGCCAGCAGCCCTGGAGACTGGGCAGTGTATGCTGGGATAGTGGACCCGTTAGATACTCTGTTTAACCCAGTTTATTCTGTCAGCCGCATAATTGCACATGAAGGCTACAACAGCTTCACTCTCAAGAATGACATTGCTCTGATGAAGCTCACCAAACCTGTGGATATCACAGGTGGTTATAGCCACATTACATTCACATGGGTGCAATGAAGAATGTCAGACATTTAAATTAAAGTGTACCTAATAAATTGACAACTGAGTGTATATCTGTTTTTGTGTGGAAACCAGTTGATAAATGTACAGTATACACACCATATGTGTCCCAACAAAAAGACAGAATCTGACTTATAACAGACATATCCTTTTGTTTGGCAGTGTCCAGTAACATCAGGCCTGTGTGCCTCCCCAACGTTGGTTTAAACATCTCAGTTCCTCAGAAGGCCTGGAAAACACAGTTTGACTGCAGAGTAAATGGAGGTAAGACACTTATGGTTACATGTGGTGGAATGGTGTGTTGTTTAGTCGGTGAAAATGCAACAGAAATTAATACATACAAAAGACTAGAAATGGAAGGATTATATACTCTATTTACTGAAGTGTGTTTTTTTTTTAAAGCTACCACTTGATGGCACCAAAGGGTGCAATATTCTAATTCAGTACTTGGACTTGAGCAAAACACAGATTACTTTAAAGAGATGACAACTTGGAGAGGAGAGGGTGCAGGTGTTCATTTTTTTTTTTTAGATTTCTCATTATCTGACTAATACAAGTGATATTTCTGTTGGCTGTGTCTCTCTGACAGACTCTGGCTCTCTGTACCTGACCAGGGCTCAGGTTTCTCTCGTACATGCTGCAGACTGCAACAGCATCATCATTTTCAATGGTGGGATATCACAGGACATGATGTGTGCCAGAGAGATGGAGTCAACAGCAAACACCTGCCAGGTAAGACAAATACATTATGTTTGTGTGTCCTTCAGCGCACGGTCTTCCAGTATTCTCTGTTTGTGCCGCACTCCTCAGGCTGACAGCGGTGGCCCTCTGGTGACCCAGAAGGGGAGGCTGTGGTGGCTCATAGGGGACAATATCTGGGGAGGACAGCGTCACGAGCAGAGTAAACCAGGTGTTTATGGCAACATCACCTATTTTCTGGATTGGATCTTCTGTCAGATGAAGGTATAAACTGATAAAAGTCAAACACACACAGCTAACATGACATGTAAACAAAGAATTATCTGGACTTTTAAAGGAAGTTAAAGAAATAGGCAGTGAGGACGTTTACTCATCTGGCGCTCCAGAAGTACAGTGTGACTAAGGCTGGATGACATAGCCACAGTATGTCTGAATCACAGCCAGACCTTCATATGAACTAGGATTTTAATATAGTGGTGTGTGTACGTCATGATCTTTATTCAACTGTGAGACAAGTTAGACATTGTTTAATTGAAGATTAATCAGACATTTCTCAAGGTTGGGAATTTATCTTTTTTGACAAAGAAAAAAACTAAACAATTTATTCCAGCTATTATTACTTTTGTTCATCTTTAGCTTTTCATAGTGAAATGTGGCCGTTTACATGACAGTTTATTCGCTGTTAAGTTTTGCTACGGTATTTGTTTTTGTACCATTTACAAAAGATAACTTATGTATAAGATAATGGCCAAAGAGACATTTTTCACAAGGCAGAAAATACAAATGTATTTATTTCTCTCTTCACAGAAGCATCAAGATGACTGATGACAGGACTGAAGATGAAAGTCTCATGCTCTGCACCTCGTGCAACTTTGACTTGACCGTGCTTTTTTCATTAGTCTGTTATTTGAATACTGAAATGCAGCCCTCGTAATACACAATGTAATTTTAACTGAGTTAAAGAAATAAGCTCAAACGATTTCATTTTCACTTGTTTTTCCATTCAGTTATATTCTTCTGTGTAAAACACAAAATGTACAAGGTGTCGCAAAGGACAACAAATATTTATTCATGTTAAATTACTTACATCTTTGATTTGATTTGATTAGAAGTAGTTTTATTTTATTTAAGGCAATTTTGGCACAAACACATTTAGAAATAGAACATTCAAAGATTTAATTGTACTTTGATAATTTTACAACTTTAAATTTTGGCAGACAGTAACGTATTGGTTACATCACTCAACACTGGTCAGAACCAAAAAGCATGAATTTCAGTTTCTGATTGTGCAGCACAGTCTCAGGGAAGGAGCAGCTTTTATGTCCTGTGTCATGACGTCTACATGGGGAGCTGTCGCTAGTGTCAGCTGTAAACATGTGTTTGTTTGTTGGAACAGCTTTTCCCCTCAACTTCAACAGTGACATTACACTCCACAGAAGACTAAAGATGAATTTCACAATGGAAGAAGGCACTTGTATAGAGTTGGCATTAGGCTGAAAAGATCTGTTGGTAGAAAATTACTAACTATCAAGGCACATTTTTTTGAAGTGGTATGGCCTTAGAAATAAATAACTCCAGTCTCGGTCCTGTGATTGTCTGTGAGGAAGAAACTCCACCCTTAGACACATCATTGCTGGTGTAATGGGGAATTATTTAGCGATAAAGTGTTTCATAGTGTCTGGTTCATCCTGGTGTTTGTGTCACTTGGTCACATCCTTTGTTTAAAAGATGTTTTCACCGTCTCTACAGAAGAAAAGCCTGAACTGGATTTGAGTGGACTCTGAAACTGCACTTCATTTCAGTCTTCCAGTTGAGAAGCAGCAAGTCATGTCCATCACTAAAATCTGCCCTGTAGCAGTTACATAGCAACTTTTAATGCTATAGTAAGTGACTGCACCTGATCTTCTTGTATGCTGGACGCCTTTCTCTGCATCACTGTCTACATATAAAATGACATGACCAGTGATCAGAGAACAAAGATACATAACCAAGCAAGAAATTGGAACTGTAAATACATCACCAGCAGCTGTTTTTAATAAGTGTTGTAGGGTGGATTTCCACTTTAAGAGGTACTTGATCTATCTGTATCTGCCTCTGTGGGCTGTGCTGATGTGTCAGTCAAGCATTCAGAGTCCAGCCTCACCCCCTTCTCCTCCACTGTGGATGAGCTCTGCTCGCTGTCTGCCTGCCAGGTCACCCTGATCGCCGGTCCGTTTCCTCTCAGTCACTTAATACGGTGGCGGACCAGTGATGACTCATCGGTTATCTCCCCAGCGTGGCCTCTGCAATGGCAGGGCAGGAGTAGCAGGAGTAGCAGAATGAGGAGCACCGCTATGCAAATCGCAATCAGGACGTAGGAGATGATCCACAGAAAAGGCACCATCAGGCGCGAGCTGGAGCAGTTGGTCGCCACATCTGCTGCTGAGAAGGGCCCTGCGATCTCTGACAGAGCTGTTCCATCCTTCACTGCAGAGAAATACAAGACGGGAAGCTGCAGACTTCATTTCCTACTTGTGGAGTCACAGCTAAAGTTAAAAAGTAGAATGTAAAGTGCTCTATACCTGCTTGTATTAAAAAAATTTTTAAAAAAACTAGAGCAAACAAAAAAAGATAAAATTAACCTTAAAAAGTAGCACTACATTATTATTTTATTGAGCCTTAATTAAAGTAATGAAAACATGTTTTTATATACTTTTTACTTCAATAGTTCTGAATATGAACATTGAACCTACGAGCTTATTCGGACAGGCAGGTGTAAAGCAGTTTTGTGAGAGAAGGTTTATGTGGGTTACGTTTTGGTGATCATGAACAAATCATTGGTATTAGGGATGCCCCAATCCAGTTTTTTTTTTTTTGACCTTAGTACTGATCCAGTTCCTTTAATATTAAGTTTCTGCTGATACCGATTCTTATATTTATCTACAGTAAATGTTCAATAAATATTTGACATACTGAGGCTCAGGTGCATGTTCACTTGCACATTGATAGCACTTTGTGTATAAAAACACTCAAAAGCACCTAGAGAAACACTTCAGAAAAGGGAAAGCTACAGTCCAAAACTCTGACACATAACAGACAGTGAGGGAATTACTGGCTACACTTGCATGTATATGTGTAGTATATCCAACCAGCAAATAAAAACTACACACGTTTTAAAGAGAACTGCCGTGTTCTGTGAAGTGTTTTACGCACGTATCTCTGAAAAAAATAGACGAAGTTAAAATTGGCTTCAGTTCGTGGCTACACACATAAAGCAGGACTGATGTGCCAGTCCACACACAGGCAGTGTAGACAGCTGGATTTGTTAATATAGCAGTTTATCAGTTGTGTGACTCTCCCATCTCAAAAACGTGACCGAGTCCTCTCCAATTCAGGACTGTAGTTCTACATATCTATTCTAGCTGATACCAATCATGTCAAAAATGCCCAGATCAGCACTGGCACTGATACTTATTATCAGCTTGGGACATCTCTAATATAAACATCAACTACAGTACATTATTATTAAGCTAAGCCGTTTTTATTTATGACAGCTTCCTCAAAGAAACTACTGTCTAAGGCTTAAGTAATATGAGTGTTTTCTTTGTCTGGATTTTACCAGCCAGTTCAGAGATTACGCCCAGAAACGCTGCCGTCACAAACCTGCGTCTGCTCCAAGTCTGCTTGTTTAATACAGAACAGAAATGATCTTTGTACTCTAAGATCAGAGCGGGAAGCCCTGCCCAAGCTCATATTTACACAGAACCTCAGGAAAGTACATGTTCAGTGAACCTGAAAGGATGATTAAATAGACACTGCATAGCTTGCTTTTCCTTAGGTTATTAATTAATCTGCTAAACTTTATGGACTTCTGGACTTGTGTCAAAAATTAAGTTTGAAGCAATCTAATCAGCAACATTTTCAATAGGATTCAGTAAAATGTCAGACAATGGCATTTACCGTAATTTCCGGACTACAAGCCGCACCCACTAAATGTAAGACGAATAAACATATTGTACATAGCCGCAGGTGTCCACGTTGTAACATGAGATATTTCGACAGCCAGATTGATCGCCTGTAATTTGAAGCGGCATCATATGCATTTCGTCGTGTGTTGTCCATGATGAGGGTGTGTGCATGAAGCGACAAAAGTAGCGGCTTCTCCACCATCAGATAAAACCTTACAGTACAGATCAACCTGTAACCATTTCCTGAAAATCTTCAGAAACATTGCTCTAAAACTGGTTCTGAGTTTTACATACTTGTCTGCCTTAGTATTGGACTGGGACTCTCACCTGCACAGTTGCTGAGTGCAAAGCCCAGTCTCCGCTGTGCGCGGTCGAACACCACATAGAAGCCTTCCATGACAGTAGCTCCAATCACCAGGCCATTAACCGATGAAGACACCCCAAAACGATAGCAGTCCACAGTGCCATCCGGGTCCATGACTGACTGGATGTACATCTGCAGGATGACAGAGAACGATGAGGAATTCTAATCTTCTGTGTTGATGGAGAGTTTTGTGTTTATGTTCATCCAGGCACCTGAGGCAGGATGGTGATTCGGAAGGACTGGCTGCTGTTCATGGCCCTTAGATAGATGGACAGGTTGGGGAAAACCCTCCAGGGGGTCTTTCCCTTAAACCAGCATGCAAGCTTGGTGCCACTCCAGAAGTCTGAAGAAAGCTCCTGGATATGAACCACAGAGAAACAGAAAGAGAGACGAAGACAAAACCAAGTCAGTACAACACAAAGATGGTTCTGCTCTTCTCTTTCACTGTCCCACTTGGGATTAATGTGTAATGGGAATTTAAGTACATGAACTGAAAATGTCACTTCCTGTTTATCTGCAGCTGCAAAAGGTGAAAAATTTATAAAATAAAATTTAAAAAGACATGAGCACGGCTACACATTTTTATAGCAGTAAAACGCCTGATCCTTCCACTTAAAGCTACTATGTGCTATCCTCCCCTGCTTTTCTTTGCTCTGACAACATGTTTCATCATTGCCTGTGGAGAGACGGCTGCGTACCACAAAGCTGTGTGTGAAGGCTTCTATCAATGCATTGAAGACGTTGACAGGAAGTCGCAGCAGCGTCGTCCCACTGTCAACTATAGCTTTATCCTTGTTATACTGAAAGAAAGGGAGAAGGAGTGAAGTGCAGTACAGTGCTTCAGGTTCCTGTGGAAGACCTTCAGCAAACAAAAGACTAAAATGAGGGCATTCTTTCACAAGCAAACAATCCAGAACATTCTCTTGTGGTGCGACTCAGTTTCAGTTCTGTGTTGTACTCTTCAAACAGCTCATCAAGAAGAATACAGTGTTGCTTTTCTGCATTAAAGATATAATTTACTGGCATGTAAAGACTGTTTTGGATGGTGTTCAGCAGTTGGAGACAATCAGGGAAGCAACACAGAGTTTGAAGCTTACCTCGCTGCAGTCCAGTTGCAGATTCTGGTCCCCTACCTCGAGCTTCAAAACCTCCACTTGGTAGTACCACTCCTCTACTATTGGGGTGTACCATATTGACCCCTGATACAAAGCTGGTTCAATCCCTCCCATGACCTGAGCAGGATCCAGAAAAAAATAAAATAAAATCACACACACACACACAATTGGTCAACTGTGACCACAACAACACTGAATATCCAGCAAGAGAAATCTCTATAGCAGCAAGTTGTCTGTCCACAATTTGGCTAAATATACAAACACATATAACGTGCGTTTTAATCCATCTGTACCAGTAGGACACATGATGTGAGCGAGGCACCAAGGCAGCTGGTATTACAGTGAAAGACCTGCTCTCAGGAGAAGACCACATTAGTTTAAGTAGCTGCACTCTAATGGGACTTGGACCCTGAAGAAGAAACCATACTGACAAAGAGGAGACCAACTATTATGCCTCTAAACTGCTGCTCTGTCTAATCTAATAAAGAATTTTATTTAGTCTTTTTTATTTATTTAGTATGAATAGTGCTCAATCACACCCCAGTCCTTTGTGAGTGAACTACACAACTGACAGTGCACGTTAAATAACGCTTAACAACCTGTATCACAAAAATACAGAATAAAAGGCAGAGGTCACATTAAATATTCTGGGCCAGAAGTCCTCTTTGCCTTTGAGCAAACTTTATGTGATATGTTCCTCCGCGCCTCCTGACTACTCACAAGACTGCCACCCGGGGGGTCAATTGTGCTGCTGGCTAATAACCCAGCACCACACATCTGGAGGGAGAAGATATCAGGAATTCCCAGCTGCTGCACCGCAGAGTTGAAGAAGGGCTCCACAGTTGAGTCAGGCTGATGGAGAGACAGATGTGTAAATCATTAACTCGTGTTCATAGATTTTTAACTTTTAAAATGAGTTTTTTTTTTCCACAATGTTGCTATAAAATGTTATTTAAATGATTTTCTGACCATAACTGCATTTACTCCATAAAATCCTGTTGATGATTGTGTGTGCAGACTGGTGTACGGTATGCAGGTTGACACAGTTGTATGGCCCTTGACTAAAGAATCACCTATCCTGTTTTCCCCAGAGAGGTTTCTGGTCAGTGCCGTGTCATCATGTGCATAACAAACAGCCCTCAGGCAAGAACCTGAACACTCAGAAAACACCAGCAGCACAAAGTGGTCAGTGTGAGCATATCTGCCCTCCAATCATTGGCATTTGAGTGCAAAGGTTGTTGGAGTCAGCACAGAGTGAAAGAATGTATTATATTGCTTTACGCTGATGTCAGTTTTGTCCCATCAGCACCAAATTACCAAGTTAAAGAAAGCTGAAAGAAGCATCTGGGTTTGTGACTGTCACACTTCATACATACAGATAAAGTTATTCAGTGCTGCAAATTAAAGGTGGGACAGGAAGTGATGGAGCACTGTGTGATTATAGTGACAGTCTATAACCTGATATTATCCCCGCCTCTCACTAAATGTCAACTGGGATTTGCTCCAGCATCCCCAAGACCCTCTTCAGGATAAGCAGTATAGATAATGGATAGATGGGTGGATGAACTTCTGACATACGATACTGCACAGGGCCACTTGCAGAAACTGGTAAAAGAAGAATTGAACTTTTTTTTCTACAAATTGTGTGATTTCATATTTAAGGTATGATTGAAGATGTTCTCTCTCACCTGTGCCAACATGGGATAGGCCAGTCCCAGGATGCCCTGCCAGTTGATCCCAGAAAGGAAGAAGCCGTCAGAAAACAGGATGGCAACTATGTTGGTGATGACAGTTCCATTTGGGCCTTTGGGGATAGAGACATGATCTGTACCCAGTTCACCTTCCCAGTTGCCCTGGGTGTACTTGGCATCCACAGTGCTGCCAGATGACTGATAGGTACTGGATCTAAATGCAAGGGAAAATGCCAAGAAGTGTGACAAGTTAGAAAGACCTGTGTTAGTTATTTAAATACTAATATTGGTGTTGTATTATAACTAGGACTGTAATAAAGGACTGAGAAAGACGGGAAAGTCGGACAAGTCAGATTCACTATACAAAAACATATCAATTCATTACACAGTGAAGACTATATAATTAGTTAATGAATACTATATTTCTGTGAAAAAGCTATCATCCCAGGCACATTTCAAAAAAAGATATTTGCCTGGGTGATGAAGAGCAGACAATGTAAAACAACAGTTAAACTAAAAGTCAACACTGGTATAACACTCCCAGGGGCTTGTTTATTAGTTTGCACAGTGTGCTCTGGCCACTCACAGCGCAGTGTTGAAGTAATGAGTAATGAATGGGTGTGGTGCCGCAGCCACAGCAAAGTTACTGCTGCCTGTATCCACCAGGATGTTCAACTGAAAAAACACAAGGCAGAGTTTAGTTTAACATTACAGTTATCTGCTACAAGCCAACCCCACCCTAACTTACTGTACAGACGTCGCGAATCACCATGTTAAACAAAGATGACAGCTGAGCCAAAGTGGGACACACTGATGAGAGGACTTGAAGCTTTTAAAATAAAACTAAGAAATCAATGTTTCTGTTTGTACTGAAAAACAGAGGAAGAAAT